TTTCCTAAAATTAAAATCTTCCTGAATTATATACTTCCCTTAATTTTTCAGCCCCAATCTGGCTCTGATGATGGGAACACTAGCGAGGTTTACTAGTACATGCATCAGACGTTCTCTTTTATACCTTCGCATGTTCTCCTTTCGTTTATCATACTTCAATAGATATTTCTTTTCAATTTAAAACGGGTAGTTCTTTTCTCTCAAACTTAGCGTAATTTGACTAATGTTTTTTCAATCTCGGTGCATGCTCTATGCCCTTTTTTCTTAAATATATGCTTTCTTTGAGAGCTTGCATTGCGCAATCATAGCTGATTTTTCAAAGTCATCCCTCCTTGGCTACCTAGGCAAACTCGAAAATTCTGTCTTTGAGTTGATGTCTTTTTGTGTAAGGACATCATGAATTGCTGATTTGTTGCTTTATTGATGCACTGCTTTTGAATTATTTCAAATTCCTATTCTTGTAAGTTATTGTGTTTGTGAATTTTCTTGAACCATTTGAGATCTGTACTTTGGTGAAATAAATTATTTGCAAAGTTGGATGATATGTTATTTCACCAACAAAATCAGAATTTTTCGCAGAATGCAAGGGGCAATGTTCAGAATAATCCGATGGAACATTTTTCACATGAGTGGACGTCAAATTCTTTTGCATTACTATTCTGTATTGGTAATCATATGCAGTACCATTGAATTCTTCACAGCGGGCTCTGTTCTAATGTTAGTTCCACTTGGGTAATCTCATGTTTGTCTACTTTTGCTACTTTTCACTTTTTCGTTAGAACGTTCAATAAAAGGCTGGGAAGACTTGGGAAAACTTCAATGCTTTATTGTAGATTTCATAGTTCTAGTTTTTTTGTTCATTTTCTAGGTATATCAAACCTACTATGAGGACTTTCCTTAACGGCCTAATATCTACCTTGCTGTCTTGTTTAATATGCTTTCATCCATACTTTACCGGTTCCGGCACTATGGCTCAAGACATATTGAACGAGGATTTGGATGATGAAGAGGAGACGAGTACAAAGGGTTTGAGCGCACTTGAAAAAATGGTCGCAGGTGTTGGAAATACAACCGATGAATATATGATTTACTTGATTATTGCAGTAAACATCGCTGTAGCTGCATTTATAATCAAATCATTGTTGTGGTTGATAAAGGTAAGGCTATTCACCATTGCTTTGATTTGTTAAAGAAAATTCTTTTATTTTTGATTTTTTCAGTATGTCACTAACTCCGGTTCAAATCTTGGCATGAACTGGCCATGCAATAAATTTACGGAGGTTGCTGGTGCGCTTACGAAGAGGACCGGCACTGTCTCTGTGGACGAGACCTCCTCGAGCACACCCGGAGGTGAGTAGATAGGCATGAAAAGTTTACGCCAAATGCACATCATGCACCAAATCCAGAGAGCACAAAATTGAAGAACGTGTAGGCGCTAATTTGTAATTAAAAATGGTTGGTGGTAAAAAAAAAGAAGAATAGAAGTTTTTGAAGTCTATACCAGATGATTTTCCTGTACTTTGAAATCTCGAGTTTTTTATTGTAGGCGATTGGTTTACAATACATAGGTCTGTGATGTAAAGCAACCATCAGAAAGCTAGGTTTTTTTAACGTCCTTGAATCACTGGCCGCACATCGAATTCTTAGCCTTCAAATAGAAGTAAAATATTTAAAAAACGAAAGTAGCTTTGTTATTGGTCCTCGATAAAGGTATGCATCTAATGGGTTAAATTCATCGAACTCTAAGCAGATTTCGATACTGAATACAGCTGATATTTTCTTTTTCTTTTTTTT